CAATAATTTGAGGAACATTATCTTTGATGTCATAAATGAAAAATCGGCTCACACATTACAACTGAAAGCAGTTTAGTTACGTGATCAGTTCCTGATAAATTAGTCAAACACAAGCAGCATTTTTGTCTCGTATGGTTTCCTTACTGGTACAGATTATTGTGACGACCCATTCACATCCCCATCAACCGACCTCTATACAGCTCCAAGAGATGAAATTCACAAAGGTTTTAATGCTTCCCTGTGGATATTGCTTAAAATTCAATGTTGCTGTCATTTTTTCCACCCTCTGGTCACCAACGAGTTTGTTGACATGCTACAACCCATCCCAGAAGGTTTCCCGAGTCTAATCCTGTGTAACGCCCTCATATCAATTTCTCATTAAGCGCTAATGTAAAATAATGTAGTAATATTTTGTGCAGTGACATTCATAAATCATTAGTGTACTATGCAGTGTGATCAAATGAGATTTGGGAGAAGCTCCTGCCTCTCTCTTTGTCTCAGCATTTACATTTAGCAATACATTTACTTTTAGTACCGTGCTTTTAAAAGTGAGAAAATAATATCTAAAAGTTCTTTATATCATTCAACTTAGAAAAATGATGTGAAGTCTGGATCGGGTGCTACTTTCAACTGAGAGGAAAATAAATTTACTAATGAATCAGTCTGAAAAAATCATTCAGAACTCTTATTAATAACGAAACGGAAGGAAAGTTCCAGTATCAGTAGCTACGAACAGCGAACAGGAGCCGGCATGGAGGCATGATAGATTTTTTATTTATTTATTGTACAACCTTGTGCTGCCTCATTGTGCAATCATGTGCACGGTTTAACACACAACGTAGATCAGGACAAAAGTGTATGTGTGCAGAGTTCCACCCCATTGCAAATAGAGCTCTTTGGACAGTTCCTATTTGTAATTTTATGTGATATGGTCTGCAACTGGTAATTTGAGGTTAGAGTCGACCTGCTTGACAGATTGACTGTTGCTTTGGTTTGTCCCCTGTTACTCATGTGCTCCACCTGCCCAGCAGCAAGCATTGACGCGGGTCACACAAGGTTTCAGCCATGGGCCTCAACTGTAACAAACAGCACTCCAGAAGCCCGTGTTCCAGTGGCGGCCGGCCCATAGGGGGCGCTGGGGCGCCGCCCCCCCTAGATGTGGAGGGGGAAAGTTATAATATATATATTTATTTTTAAAGTATTATCAATGTCAGTTTTACTTAATAATATGTGGCTACATGTAATATGAATTATTAAAACAACACTTCCACCAACTGACTCTCATTCAACGGTGCATTTCCACCCACAGAACGTATCGTTTCTCTTCTGGGGCGCTAGCCCCAGCGCCCCAGAGGTGCAGCGAAATAACCAATTGAAAAATGTTGCTAGGGAAAATTAATAAATATTTGGCCAATCAGCATCGCCGAAATTATTTGCTTTGGGGCGCTTGGAGCTGGCGCCCCAAAGCCATAGACGTGTAGCTATTGGTCAGTCAGGCTGTGACGTAGAGATGACGGCGACGGCGACAGTTAAAGAGCTGTTTTCACATAATTCAGTGAGATCTTTACTGAGATCTCCTTACGTGAGAAGGACAATGGTGGAAAAATTAAACGTAAAGAAGCTGGGACCTGACAAGTCCGAAATAAATTTAACGCAGCGAACCAATGAAAAAGCTAAGTCCTCCAGTCGGCGTTTGAGCAGGAGCTGGTTCCAGCGTGAGTCCTGGCTGACTGCCGGTGGGACGGCCAACGCAGTTATGTTTTTCCCGCATCCTTTTTAAAAGTGACCGGAGTGATTTGACGTGGACACAGTCTGGACAGACAGACTTAAAACACCTCTCTGAACAACTAAGAAACATGAAATATCACGAGGTTATATGGAAAACTGTGTTAAGCTAACCGTGTTAAACTAACCACCTGTGTGCCTACTTTGTGTGTTTGGTGAAAAATAGTAAAATTGAGTGTTGTATTTCATACTGTTCCCTTCCAAAATAATACCTAATATAGCTTCAAACGGTTAACTGTATATGTAAACTGCTGATTCTGATAAGGGAATTAAATCATTATTGTGGAATTGTACTAATTTTACGACTTTTAACTTGAATGCATGTACTGGGTTAGGCAGGGAAATATATTGGCACACCAGCCCCACCAAGATTTTTTTTCACCAGCCGCCACTGCCGTGTTCGTTACATTTAGCTAAATAACATGATCACCCATCAGTCACTGCGGCTCTTTTGAGTTTACAAAAAGAGTTAATAAATCAAAAGCTTGCTTTACATTGAACACAAGCATTGTCACTGTTATTTTTGTTGATGTTACTGAAGAGGTTAAATTAAAGCACCCTTTAGCACCCACTAGCACCCTTTCCTCTTCTCCCTGTGCTAACAGCAAAGCTGGTCCAATTAGGCCCCCTAAGTGGGCCAATTAGTAATTAAACACTCAGATGCATCCTGAAATTCTTAAGGTCCTTCCAGGAAGACCCGTGTCTGCCAGGGTCTTGGAATTGTACCACAGATTCTGACTCCTCTGGACCTCTGCTGTCCTCTGCCCCGTTTCAGACTGAGAGTGTTTAGAATGGAAACTAGGTGACACCCTCCGTGGGCCCGTGGAAGTGGGGGTATAAATGTCCTCTCCCTGAGACTCTGCTGGCCTCATGTTGCTTCTACTCCAAAATACCAAAGGTTCTCTGCAGAACTGTGTGAAGCAAGCTTTTTGATATTAACAGGACCCGTTTCCACTCCATCTATATTCTCACCTTTCATCTTCCGTTTTTCTCTTACCATCCCCACTCCTTTTTTCCCCCTTCAAATTCTGCTCATCTCTGCTTTACCATCTCACTGTCTCTTTTATGTATGAATGTGTGTGTGTGTGTGTTTGTGGTTGAAAGGCTCGGCTTGGTGTGCACTCCAAAGCAAGCCGGCCTCTAGACTACCCAAGGTTTAATTAGAGCGTGCATTGTGCTGCCTGATTCTCTGACAGCACATATATATATATATACAACACATTGGCGCGTTGGCAGTAGGACTAAGTCCATGTTGAGAAGAACAAAGGCAGAAGCCAATATTTTGGTTGGAACTACAAGCAATAGCGTGTGCTCCATAGAGACCACTACAACCGTCTGAAAGAATACAAGTCTTTGCATCTTTCCCTTTTTGTACATTTATTATGGGGCACACAAGCCTCATTCCCATTTTCTGCTCATCAGCCTATCGACTAATTATCTGCTGTCTGGCTCAGGACACTTATCTAATACTTTCAAATTCAGATGGCTTTATTGGCAGAGAAGACAACAAAAACACAGAGGTGCTTCAGTAGGTACAGGCGATGCAATAACTCTGTTAATAATGGCTTTAAATGGGCCAATTATGGCATGATGATGAAGCAAGAGAGTGAACACTCACAAGAGAATGTGAAAGAGGTGAGATGTGATGGTGAATTTTAAGAATTAGATGTGGCTGAAATGATGTGAGTGAACATGAAAGAGAATGCAGATTTTTTTTTCGCATTGCCTGCTCTCTGGTGTCTGTGTATGTGTGTGCGCTTCCTACCATTACATAACGGAACCAACAGTGTTATGATGGTGTAATCTCATCTATGCCTCTTGCATTTATTGACTGCGGGTCCGTTGCACAAGGATTTACACGTTTGTACATTAGATTACATGAATGTCTGCCATGTGTGGGCTCTCGTGCATGCGTGGGTCGTTTAAGCTTTAGGAAGCGCATGCGTGTCTCCTAATGTTCTGCATATAGCCAGAAAATGTCTCAGTCTGGTATAAGCTGCTTACACATTACTGACCCTTGACCTTACTGGGCAGTAAAAGGCTCACCCTAATCTTTAGCCTCAATTCGCCATTCACTTTTCCTGCTCAACTTCTATCTCCAAAAGCAAGACTGAAGCCGTCCGGGATTGAATATTCATACATTTCAAATAATTAGCTGCAGTGTGGTCAGATGAAGACTTGCTAAGTAACTTGACTACATTCTTTGGAATACAGAGCTCTCTAGAGAGATTTGCGTGCACCGCATAGGAGTAAGCTGGGATGTTAAACACAGATCACCAGGAAGGATTTCCTTTTGCAGTTCAGACCAGGACAGGGGGAACGTGTCCAATTTAGGGTTTCCAGGGATAACGCTGTTAATATATATGCACTCCACCTAGAGTTTGCTATTTATGACATTTACACTTGACAGACTATGTTTAAAAAAAACTGAAGAAAGAAGGGGATATTCTCATATCATCTGCACATTGTATGAACCACTTATTCTTATTTTACATGTTTGACTGTTTTCCTGAACTATGTTTTTGCCTCTGATGGAATGAAGTAAAATATGTTGATGTTGATGTTTTGAAAATGAACTGCCTGCTTGCCAAACACTGCCTTTAAATGTTGAAAGTATTTTCTGAGTGTTTTTTTTTCTTAGCACCATATTCCTTAAATACCATATGATATAGTATTAATGTTTGTTTTTGATCTCTTATCTCTTTTTTTTCTCCCATTCTGTGATCCCGACACCCATTTCTTCCCACCTACTTCTGTCTCATTCTGCAGAATTCGCTATCCAGTCCATTTTTTTTGGATAAAGGAAGAAGAATAGGTAATGGAACGCAACAGAACCATGGCAGGGGACGGATTTTGGATCACCATTACTCGGAATCAACACTGACGTGGCACCCCATCTCAAAGCCCAAACCCCTTCACAGGATTGCTACGCCCCATCTCTCCCCAGCTGCTGGGTTGCCCACATTCTTGCATTCTTGGTGCTTTCACCATCAAGAGTCCATTCTTAACGGCCACCGTTGTTGGTTATAATCCACACAGTCTCAGAAACAACAGACTAAGAGCAGGTGGCTGAACAGTATGATTCCAGTCATGTACCCCTTTCCACTAATTTTGATTAAGCAAAGTCGCCAGGGTTTGTTGTCCAGGACACGTCCCTTTAGTCTCATGACAGACTGGTGCTTCTTGAGTTTGCTCGGCCTCATCTTGCTCTTAAGTCTGGCCTCGTGCCAGAGGATGGATCCCTCAAAGCACCCCATAGTCACCACTAACTACGGGAAGCTCAGAGGCATCAAGAAGGACTTGAACAATGAGATTCTAGGCCCTGTGGAGCAGTACCTTGGAGTGCCCTATGCCACAGCACCCATAGGAGACCGCCGCTTCCAGCCGCCCGAAGCTCCAGGATCTTGGCAGGAGATTCGCAATGCCACCCAGTTTGCCCCTGTGTGCCCTCAGAATGTCCACGGTGTTCTGCCTGAGATAATGCTCCCTGTATGGTACACAGACAACCTGGACGTGGCGGCAGGATATGTACAGAACCAGAGCGAGGACTGCCTGTACCTCAATGTCTACGTCCCCACAGAAGATGGTAAGTGCCCAGAATAAAATTAGAGGCTGGTGAGGGGGGGGAGCTGGTGGGTTTCAGTTTTTTGTTAATCATAATATTGGGAAGCATTCAGGTAGCTCTGCACTGCCCCTAATGAGTCTCTGACAGCTCCCATAATCACAAAGTTACACATTTTCTAGTATTAGGTCTTGCTGCAGAAAACAGACTTGTTTTTTGTTACCTGAATTGGCGGGTATCCCAAGGTGATTAAATGGAATATGTGTTTGGCAATAAATAATCAAAAATTGACTTCCCCCAACTCTGCTTCTGGGAAGAATTCTATATTCATGCTCATATTGACAACATTCTTATATGCAGTACTGTGCAAAGGTGTTTGATCCCATAAATTTTAATCCTCAAGTTTTCGGGTGATCTTTTAAAGGTTTTTATTTTTGTATATTGGGTACTTTTTGATTCATTTCAAGAGTCCAGTCCTTACGCATGATCATTTTAGGAGGAATTTGACAAACAAAATGTATATCATTAATACTGATTTATGAATTATTCTAAACAGATGACGTACAATAGAAATTAACAAGTTTCAAATGGGCCTCTGTTTTGCACCTTTTGGTAAAAACAAGCACGTATGTTTCAGTTTTTTTTTTGTAACATTTACATAGATGCCAAAAACAGTTTGACAAATGTAGAATAGTTATTTTGCACAAAAAAGAATTCCTTAAGAACCACTGTGGAAAAATGAAATAACTCAACTTTTTGTCTGTCAATATATGTCAAGTGTGTTCATTAGTTAAGAAAAAGGAGGATAAGAGGAAACTGGTAGACAAAAGAATGACAAAGCCGGGAGAACTATGTCTTAAGACTATTGAAAGAAATGACAAAGCGTTCAGAGAAAATTGAGTGAAAGTTGTAAAAGCAAATGTGGAGCTTTTAAGCTCTTCAGAAATGTATGGTACATGTTCTATTTTTAGGTTTTCTTTTATTGTTTTTATCCTTCTGTGTGTACTTGTGATAAATGGCGGCACTTATACCATGACTTAAATAGAAGCTTTCATTTAGAAAAACTGAAGGACATAATCATGATTGTGATTTTTAAATCCAGTCTGGAGCTCAACAAAACACTGAAAAATGGCATTCTGATGGAAGTAATGGAGGTTTCTGATGCACGCACTTAGCAGGTTTCAGGGTTAGCTTGACAGTTTAAAAAGAAGAATCGTATAAAAGCATGTCTGATACTGTGACATTATCAGCAGGTGAATGTATCTGTGATTGAGTCCTTATTTAATTGCTTTAAATGTCTACATGTGGGCTCTGATTTTTTATTTCAGCTCTGTAAACTAATTTCCACTTCATTCCCTTCAACCTTTCTTTGCCTTTTTTCCCCCAACCGCATCCATTGACTTGTGTTTTCAAGCTCCTTCTAAGTTCAAGCTCCCCTTCCTTCTCTCCATCCTACACTGCAGCCTGAGCCTTCAACACCTGCGGCATATACACTATATGTCATATATTTGAGGTCTCACAGCTATTTCCCTCGTTTGTTTGTTTTCTGGAATTGTAGATGTTATGAAAATGTGAATGTCATGCAGAAATATATCCACACAAAACCAACCAATCACTCACCTACTTGCCCACAGGTGGAAATGTCACACAGATGTAAAACCCTTTTTTGTCAATAACTGTTCATCTACATGGAACATTCGCATTTCACAGAGCATTTGTCTGCTCCGGAGTCACTGATAGTGAAGAGTGTGCCAGTTTAAAACCCAAACATCAACACTGCAAATACCTCATTGAATTTCTTCAGCTTCCCATTTGGATTTAAATGTGTTTTGTTTCTGTTTTTTGTTTTCTTAACACACGTGCCAGTGAACAGCGGTAACATTTCCAGTGCCAAGGGAACGAGGGGACATGATCTTTACATGTTATAACGTCAATCTCGACCAATTTTTTATGCTGCTTTCTTTTCACTTTTTAAGTGTCAACACTGTACCTCTTTGTCTTCTGAGGCCTTATTTTTGCACACTTTTTTAGGGCACCATTAAGATAGGATCTTTTAAAATGTGCTCCCATTTTAAGGGGATTAATCCTGCAACATTGCCTCTTAATGTTGCCAGTGGTGTCAAAGGAAGAAAGTGGGACACAGACATGAACGTGTGTTGAGGATGAACACATTCAGCTACATTTGATGATGATTCATCTTTGATTCATAGTGAAGTGCTTCTTGCTCTCCATGGCTAACCATGTGCTGTTAAATGTGCTATCATTTCATGACATCTGTGTATGTGTCCACAAATCTGCTACGGCTTTGGATACAAATGTTTTAAATGCTTCTAATGAAAAATTACTGGCTGCTATAGTTTCAGATTAACAGTAGCTCTCTATGATGATATTTTATTTTCAATGTAAGACTTCAAAATCCAAGAGCATTAGCATTCTTTCATTTTAAGATTGTCATAAAAAACTCTCAATGCATTATTAGATGCACTTTTACATCCTCATAAAAATGTGTCAAATTATTCAGCGCAGTGGGAAACCTGTGATGAATTACTTCCAAAGACGTGTTTTTTTTCTGTCAAGAGGAGGTCCCTCCTCAGATAGTTTGGCCAATAAATTCACAGAGGAAGTGTAGTGAGTTCTGCAAGAGGCACCAGCCAAATGCTTAAAACATTCTCTCTCGCTTTTAGTTTTTTGTTCCCCCAGTTATGTATATCATCATACATAATACACAATGCTCTCTGTGACCCCTCCACCTAACAAATATTAAGTAGTTTTCCGTGTTATCACCTGAGCTGAGTGATGGATGGTTCTGGATTTGCTCTGCTCTTACCTCTCCTTGGATGAATTGAACATTAGAGCACCACCACAATATACAATGTTAATTATAGCTCAGCTTATTTCGTCAACCCTGTGGTAGTGCAGAAAGTCAGGCCTTAGGCCTGAGAGAAGAAGGAAGGTAGTTCACTCGTCAAAGGCAGGTAGTGAGGGCCCCCACTGGTTTCCTTGGATATGACATCCCATAAATCATAGATGGAGCTTTTCACGTGGCTCTGCAGAGTCACACTGGATCAATGGATGGAAAGAAAGGAAGGAAAGGAATGGTAGCTGCTGCCTCAGGCTATAACAGAAAGACCACATGTTTCCCTCAGCAGTCAGCAGCTATTAATGCAGAGCAGCCTGTGGTGAAGAAGTTGGAGTTGATACTGGACAACTTTCTGAAAATGAGTAAGTGATTCCGAACATACATTAAAGAGAATTTAAAAGCAGATGGGGAACAAGCTAGAAGAGACGGGGAAATTCTGTGGACAGATGTTAGCAACGACATCGAAGTTAGGAAGTTATGCTATTATTTATTTTTCTAAATAAAAAAACAGTTCCAATATTATTCCTTTTGAACACTGATGCCACCAGACATAGATACATAGAATTAGCCATTCATCTCAGCGTCCTGGCATAAGAGTGATAAACATATGGAAGTGGTCAATATTTTTGTAGTGTGTCACTGTGATTGTAGCCTAGAAATGAAATTTGGTTTGGTTTTGCATGAACTTTAAATCTTTGTGTTATGAACAGGATGCTCGGCTTTGAAAACCTTTCAGAGTATTTGTACTTAAACATAGCAGGTATCCTTGAAAACTCTTAAAGGTTATTGTTCAATTGTCCAATATCATTAGCTGGCCAATACCAAATATTAGTGTTATGACAAAAACTGAAAGGCAGCACAATCACTTGGATTACCACATCGACCTTTGATATGATGTTATCTTGCATGTTCTATGTCTAGCTACATGATGTACACATTTTAAACTTCTGACTTGGTCCAAAATAGATTTAATGAGGGCATGAGAAGAGTGCAGCTTTACAGCGTCAGATGTCTTGCCAGATGCAATGAACCATCCAACAAAACATTTCCACACTCCTTTGATTTTTCTATGCCCCATCATCATTTGTATCATGAGTGACTGTTAGGAGTTGCAATTGGATATTTGTGTTACTATTCGTCAGTGGTCCAATTTTATCACATAAAATGCTTCCCGAAATACTAGTTTCTTTAGGGGTTAGCTTCCATGTAGCGTTTCCATCTGCATTTTGGATGTAAATTTAGGTAAATTATACATTTCAAGAGGATATTTTGACAAAATCAGAATTCAAGGCCTGCTAAGAATGTCTTGAAACCTTATTTGTCTAAAAGCATCTAGTTTGGACAAATGCACAACGCGTGACACTGTATAATAGAAGTCCACAGCTTGCCTTTGGTTATTTGAGCATTTTTTAAATGAACTAGTTAGAACTGAATTCTACATAAGTAGACTAGAAACGTTTTATAAATGACTATGAGAGACCACCACTTGGTCACTTTTAAAAAATGATTTCATCTCGAGGAGGTAGGAGTTTTACCCTGATAAGCTGCTACAAAAGTGCCTTTTAAGCTGTTAGTTCTGTTCAATTAGTCAATTCAAGGAGGGCATTCATTGGTTTTGCCAGATAATCCTTGGGGATTTTAACTGCTAACCTCAGCATTGTCAGTGGTGCACTACTAGGTTGAGCTGCCTGGTGCGAGTGGAGGGCCTTATAAATTATTCCATCCGGTACTTCATCTATCTCCGCGCATCAAGCTCAAACTCTCACATGTCCCCATTCTGCAATATTTCAATTTTCTGAGGAGATTCATCAGCAAGAGTTCAATACTAATACAATAACGCACATGGCGTCCATGGATCTTGCTGCAGTACTGGCATCGTCACGGGGCATGAGATGAATGAATAAATAACTTAAAAACAAACAGATAAATAATGGAAAGAGAGGGAGAGGTGCCAGCATGCAGTAGTTGAAATATGTTACATATTGCTTCTTATGCTAGAAAAATCCTTGATTATTCTGCTTCAGGTCATTTCATACATAACGTCTCTCTCCAGCCAATGTCGGTTGAAATGATGGCAGAAAGCTGAACATGATAGAGAAAAGTGGATTGTGTATTTGTACATAATTTTTTTCTTTTTCTACAACAGAGCAGAGTCCATACTACA